TTCTCATTACAGAGATGCACATCACCTAATATGCTTAATTGGTAGTAGGCTTTCGAGCCTATACAGCTTGGAGTAAGACAACATGCATGCAGAGCATGGTGTGGACAAAATACTCATTTGCCTAATAATTCTGCACTCCCTGTAGTATTTATATAGCACTTTCAGATCAGCCCCCAGCTGAACACAAAGTGCTGTACACTTGACATGCCAGAAATGATACATTGAACATGTTAAAAAATAAGAAAAATAAATAAAATAAATAATAATAATATAAAATGAAAAAAAAATATTTAAAAAATAAAAAATAAGATGATTATTAAAATGACATTTAAAATAATAAAATTAGCACAAATAGCAAAAACAATAATAAAATAGTATAAAAATGTTGATGAGAATTACATTTAAAACAATAAAATCAGCACATTAGATTAAAATAATAAAATCAGGGTCAGACTGTGTCATAAGCCAAGGAGATAAAATGGGTTTTAAGACGTGTTTTAAAAGTGGACAGTGAAGGGGCCCCTCTAATGTGCTGGGAAAGATTGTTCCCAGCACAAGATTGTTCCACAGATTAGGAGCAACAAATACAGTCCAGAAACCGGCTATCCGAAGACAGCGCAGCGGCTAGCAGCTGATGCTGACAGCTGGTGCTAATAGCTAACAGTAAATGTGTCCAATTGCTGCGGGCCATTCAGTCCTTATACAACCGTTGCAAGAGCTTGGTCCGCATAGCCAATAAGTAGGACTCGTTCCTGATGGGTGATGGGCTCCGCCAGAGCTGCCTTTTGTCACCGATTCTGTTCATAATTTTTATGGACAGAATTTCTAGGCGTAGCCAAGTGGCGGAAGGCTTTCACTTGGGTGGTCTCAGGATCTCATCTCTACTTTTTGCAGATGATGTGGTTCTGTTGGCTTCATTGGTTGATGGCCTCCAGCTCGCCTTGGAATGGTTCGCAGCTGAGTGTGAAGCGGTGGGAATGAGAATCAGCACCTCCAAATCTGAGGCCATGGTCCTCAGCCGGAAAAGGGTGGAGTGCCCACTCCGGGTCAGGGACGAGTTTATTGTCCCGCAAGTGGAGGTGTTTAAGTATCTCGGGGTCTTGTTCACGAGAAGGAAGCAGGGAGCGGGAGATTGACAGACAGATCCGGTACAGCGGATGCAGACACTGTACCGGTCTGTTGAGGTGAAGAGAGAGCTGAGTGTAAAAGCGAAGCTCTCAATTTACCCATCGATCTATGCCCCTACCCTCACCTATGGTCACGAGCTGTGGGTAGTGACCGAAAGAATGAGATTCCGAATATAAGCGGCGAAAATGAGCTTCCTTTGAAGGGTGACTGGCCTCTCCCTTAGAGATAGGATAGGGTGAGAAGTTCGGCCATTCGGGAGGGGCTCAGACTAGAGCCACTGCTCCTCCACATCGAAAGGAGCCAGTTGAGGTGGTTCGGGCATCTAATAAGGATGCCTCCTGGGTGAGATTTTTGGGGCATGTTGCACCGGGAGGAGGCCCTGGGGCAGACTCAGGACACGCTGGAGAGATTATATCTCTCGGCTGGCCTGGGAGTGCCATGGTGTTCTCCCAGACAAGCTGGAAGAGGTGGCTGGGGAGAGGGAGGTCTGGGCTTCTCTGCTTGTGCTGCTGCCCCCGCAACCCGGCCCGGATAAGTGGAAGAAAATGGATGGATGTCTTTTCCTGCTACTATTTAGGTTGCTTTCAGTCTACACTGGATCATTGAAATAGTTAGTGAATCTGGTTCTCTTGTTTGTTGTTGTGGTCTGCCTTCAGCCTGTAAGTTACTTAACTTGTTTGTTCTGTGCAGAAAACCCTGGAGATCAGAGAGAGAGGTCTTCTGTGAAGACTTCTATGAAGTTAAGGAGAGGTAGAATTCCCTGTTTTGTTTGGACATTAGACTTCACTGACAGAAAGCCTTTCCCTTGTGAACTTTATTGTATAAATAAACTTGTTAAACTTTTGCTGGGTCTATGATCCAGCATTTTGTGTTTATTTTTGTATTTATGACTTCGTATGTTATATTGAAAGGATGCTAAGTTCTAGGATTATTATTTGTTTGCCTTGAGTTTAATTTATATTTCTCCTAGGTTTTCTGTGTTAGTCTCATGTATTTTTTGTCTGTGTGTTTCATATTGTCTAGCCGGTGTTAATATCTTTACGTCTCTTCATGTTTCCTGTTTTATTCTGAAAGTCTTGTATTTCCATTTTCCCTGATCACCTCTTGTCTGTAATAAGTCCTCTGTCTTCCTTTGTTCAGTGTCAGGTCATTTCTTTTCCTTCCATTTCTTGTCATAGTAACCTTAGTAGTCATAGTCACCATAGTCATCATAGTTATCACAGTTGTCATAGCGGATTTATAGTTTTCATAGTTACCTCAGCCATGTCACAGTTTTCATACTATATTTTCTACACTATGAGGCAAACTTAAAATCCTTTAATTTTCTCAAAAACCAACAGTGCGCCTTATAATCCGGTGCACCTTATGCATGAATTCTGGTTGTGTTTACTGACCTCGAACCGATTTTATGTGGTACACGGCACTCAAAAATCTGTCAAAAATGTTTTAGTATGACTTTGGTAAGCTATGAAGCTGCACCGCTTGATGGATTGTCAGAGCATTACGGCTACGGTAGTTAGGAACCTCGCAGAGTAATCTGGGTCCTAAACTCTGTCCCTTCAGGTCCCGAACACTGCGGCATCACTGACAGTTAAAAACTATCTAAATTCTTTCATCTCATCCAGGCATCCACGAAAACAGAATGTATTAAATTTAACGGAGATAGAAGTTAGCAGGAAGTTAGCTTGCTAGTTTCCACCTAAACATGATATAGCATGTTCTGACTGAGAGATTTCTGAATAATTAAAACGCACAGCTCTGCTAACACTTCCAACATAAATGAAGACCAAAAAAACCCCTAAACAGCAGTGACTTTTGTAGGGTTACTGAAGTTGGGCTAGCTGGTATATAATGAAATGATGTGCTATGTGATCACTAGCTACACAGCTATGTTAGTATAACATACACAGTGAAGATGGAGGATGAACACTAACTTTTTTCCATACGATAAAAGTTACCGTGAGGGTTCCTGATGGTTAGGGACTAATACAATTGCATAGCAGGATGCTATAAACGGACCAAACTTCAGTCAGGAGAACAACTGAGATAATCCATCCACAATACGAGGTTAGTCATTAATATACTGCAACAACATGGGAATAGAGCCACTGCAGAGAATTCAACATTAATGAATCAATGGTACGGAAGTGGAGGAAGCAAGAAGAATGAGTTGAGTGAGGTTTTTTTGCCTTATAGTCTGAAAATACAGTAGTTTTTTAGTTTTCCCATTTTAGGTTTCAGTTTAGTTGTCGCTCCTGTTCTGCCTTTGCTCGTGTTTTATGTTCATGTCCACCAGCCATAATAAATAGCTCACTCTTGGTTTCAACTTCAGTTCACCTCTCTAGTGTCTGCTTTTGGGTCCTTTTCACAAACTCACTGGCATACCCCGCCGTGACAGAGTTCTACCCATTTTGGTGGCCTTGACATGTTGATATTAAAAGATCTAGTAGAAATGATTAAGAAGAAACTATGTGGAGTGTAAGTAGTATCATTGCAGACAGGTCCAGTTCCTTTCAGTAAAACCCCATTCCACATAAAAAGGCAGCTAAATAATTCATATTCTTAAATGTAGAATTTAAGTCAATACCTAAAAATTATACTCATATAAAGTAGTAGGTACAATTCTCGCTCACCTCGCTGAATGTGCCCCGGCCAATCACCTTCAAGATGTGAAAGTCTTCTCTTTTGATGCGGGTTTTCTTAACCTCCTTTACTAGAGGCTCAGCTGTGAGAAAGGAGAGAAGAGACAATGATTTCAATTATTTTACTTTATTATTTCAGTGTTATTTGAAATAATGGACCTAAAAATGGTAATGCAGTGGCATTATTTTAAAAATATCATTTTTTCCTAATTTAACAATTTTGCAGTAATTTATCAGTGTGGGACAATTTATTAGTGTGCTCTAAATACATTTTTTTCTTAAATATATATTTATTAGATTGAAACAACAAAGAAAAAGAGATACACACAACTGTAAGTAGGTTTCACAATTATTGCTTAAGCTGATGTAATAAATTACAGCTTAATAACATATTCTCATATCTTTTAATTGCTTTTATCACTTTACCCCCTACCCATCCCACACAATAGCCCTGTCCCTTGAGCCCGTTTAAAAAAACCCACAACAAAACAACAAAACAAAACAAAAAGCAGAACAAAACAACAACAGCAACAAAAACAGAGAATTTACTGAGTAGTGCTAGAAGTGGGGAAAAATATTTCAGGAATTGCCCCAACACCTTGTAAAATTTCCTGCTGGTATTACTAATTGAATAATGGATCATTTCGAGGCCTAAATAACACATAAGGTCCCTCAGCCATTGAGCTACTCCATCTTAGCAGGGTTGCATGCCTAGCCACAAGGGAAGTGAAAGACGGTGTGTGACACTGTGACAAGATCAACTGTGCATCAGTCTCTCCAGTGGTGCCAAAAAATGTAGCTAATGGATTAGGACCCACATGCTATCCAAGAATTAGTGCCAAAGTTTGAAATGTGTCTCTCCAGTATTTTTCTAGATTAGGACATTTCCGAAACCTTGGGGGTGGGCACGCTACACAGCATCCGGATGACCATCAGGGTGTACAACCTCACCCCTGGCGTCGTTGCCCACCTCTCAATTTTAAATACACATATACATTGAGGGCTATCAGGAGGGGCTATGCACTTACCTGCTGCTCTCTGGCAGGTAGCTCCATGCCCTCCTGGAACACACATGCATCAACACTACTTATGAGCGGACGGAGGGAGGTTTGGAGTCTTCACACCCCCCCGTTCTCTGTTGCCTGTTGGGGCGGGGGAGCTGGAAGGAGGAGTCGGCCATCCAATTGGGGTCTGGAATGTGGGGCCTCCCTGCTGCTGTGGAGTTGGGGCGGTCTGTGTCTCTCCACCCCAGGGAAGAGGGTAACACTACCAGGGTCTGGGTGCAGTTTCCCCCTCCAGGGACAAGGGTACCTAGATCTGGGGCTTAGAGTACGCTTTGGGAGTGTGATTGTGTGTACAGTGTCTATTTATATCTTTCTCCACGTTGGGTGAGTGCTGAGTAATTGCATATGAGAGTATGAGGGTGGGAATGGATGTTTGTATCTGTGTGTGCCTGTATGTTTGTGTCTATATGTCAGTTCGGGTATCAGACGTCACCTCTCTAGGGACATCTCAGGCCCTCGAAGGTATGGAGACCTATCTCCCCCCACCACTCCACGTGCCAGTGGCAGATGCCCCCACACATTGGTGCACTGGTGGTTCTCTGTGTCCGGGGATGGGCGTCCAGGTACGCACCGTCTCACTCCTGGTGGCTGCTTGTTGGGGCCTGGAGCCTGGGGCTCGCTCGGGCCCCTTCGGGGGGTGGGGTGCCCTTGGCCTCGGGCTTGGTCACTCTGGCACAGCTGCTCCACGGCTGCTGAGTGACCCCTCATCTGGGACTCTCCTCAGCTCTTTCTGGGATAGTGGCACGGTTGCCCCTCCGTTGGTCTTCCTTGGTCTCTTGTGCTCTGAGGGGCTCTGGATGTCTGAAGCCTGGATCTCCTCCATACCTGCTTCATGCCCTGGAGGACGGGGCTATGGTTCCCCCACACCCTCTAGCAGATCATTACATGAAGGAACCTTTTAAATACAAGTGCGCTCATGCTCACAGGTGTACACACGGGTGCTCACAGACACAAACTACACCCTCTTTGGCTCCTACCTCAAAGCACACTGTGCACTGTCGATCTTACGTGCTGCACAATAATGTTTAATATTTAGTATTTACTGTTACATTCCCATAGATCATCGCGATGATGTTGTTTATTATATTGCTCTCTTTTTTTTTTGCTTGTTTTCTCTTTTTTTCTTTCTCAACAGGTGATCCAGGTGATTGATATATGTATTTTTGTCTGTTTGTTTTGTTGGTTTTTGTTTTTTGCCCCTTTATCACCGTTCCTCTTCCCCGCTGTTTTTCTTTCCCTCTTTCTTTCTCCCTTTTCTTTTCCCCAGTCAAGTCTGTCCCGTGTTTAGCAAGTGAAAATAAAATAAAATAAACAATAAAAGCAAAGGTGAATCAAATAGACCAATACGGCAAGGCTGCAATGGTCCATTTGGTAAAGTAAATCCGTTGGGCATCTTTCTTTGCCTTTAGACAGTAATTCTGATGGCAATAGAGCCAAACGGGATAGGCGAAAAAAAAAAATACCAATACCAATAAGTTTGATGTGTCACATGGCCCTCTTCCTATTGAAAAAACAAAAGTTGTATCCAAGATGGCCGACTTCTAAATGGCCACCATGGTCACCACCCATCTTGAGGAGTTTGCCCCCTCACATATACTAATGTGCCACAAACAGGACTTTAATATCACCAACCATTCCCATGTTATTACGCTGTATCCGTATAAATGGCCCACCCTGTACATTAAGGTGCATATCCCTGACATTGCAGCTGCTGCTATTGGAAAATTTAGTGTCTGAGAATGTCTGAGAAAATGTCTGATCTGCAGATATTTGAAAAAATGTGTATATGGGTGTGGTGGGGCATGGTCTGCAATGCTGCTGCAGGTGAGATGGATGCACCTGCGTGGCATCTGCTATCACGCCTTGCACAGTCTGAGTAGTTGTGTTGTGGATGTGTCGCCTGGCAGCTGGGATGCTGCAGCCATTCATGTGTGTAATTAGCAACCATGTGCCTCAATAAAGCATGTTGAAAAGCTTGAAAATATCTTTGGGTCTGCCTTGTTTTATCACAGTGGTGCCGAAACCCAGGATGGGGGGTACGGCAGACCCACAAACTGGCCGCCAAGGGGAGGAGTTGGCCTGAATGGTGGCCAAAATGGCCAGCACAGAAGAGCTGTAAGACTGGACCCAGCAGCATCTACAGGTAATGAAGAATCTGGCACTCTCACTCTCACCGGCATTCCCCGACAGCGTTGGCGTGGAGGAGGTCCAGGCTGTTCTGACGACCATGTCAGGCCCCAGGATGCGACAAGCCAGGACATAGCCGGCCGCCGCACCCATCCCTACTCATCAAGTGGTAGCAGCTTATGCCCGGCAGGGATCTGTGCCCGTTCCTGCTCCCTGGAGGAGGGCCGCGGAGCATCTCCTGGGCTCGCCACCAGCTCAACCACCTGCTCAGCAAGAGCCGGAGGTCAGCTCATGGAGAGCGCAGGAGGAACCTGCCACTACTGCGCTGTCGCTGCTTGGCCCCCTGGACCAGTTCCAGGGCTGCCGCTGGGTACGCAGGGCGTCCCCTGGATCCACATTGTCACTGGCGCTGCTGGATATGTGGGCGACCGCCAGAGTGGTCACATCCCTGTCCCTCACCAGGGCCCAGGAGCACCAACGGTCTGGGCGGGGGGAACAGTAGGTTCGGCTAGATGGCTTGCCGGCCTGTCGGGCAATGGGGGTATATGGCGGGGCGTGGTCTGCAGTGCTGCTGTAGGTGAGATGAAAAGGCTTTGCACAGTCTGAGTTGTTGTGTTGTGGATGTGTCGGCTGACAGCTGGGATACTGCAGCCATTCATGTGTGTATTCAGCAACCGTGTGCCTCAATAAAGCATCCTGAAAAGCTTGAAAATGTCTTCGGGTCTGCCATGGTTTATCACAGTGGGAGATACATATTTTAAGATGTTTAATTTTTTTAAGCCTAAATGCCTCCTCATCTGAGCCCACACCCTCACCGTGAGCCAGACAACTGGATTATCAGTTGCTCTTGTTTGGGGGTAGGGTGGGTGAAAATCCAATCAGAGCCAGAATAGATGAATCTGTAGCCAAGTTCAACTCCATGGACACCCAGGAAGGGCAATTATCTTTCTTTTGGAAATAGACCCAAATAAAAGCACGTATTTGCTGCCCAATAGTAATACCGGAAGTTAGGCAGTGCCAGGCCTCCATTAGTCCAAGACTTTTGATGAAGAGCTTTATTCAACTGGGGGTGTTTACCTCTCCATATATAAGATGATATAACTGAATTTAAAGAATCAAAGGATTTGGGAATAAATATTGGCAGCAGCCTGATTGAATGCCTTCTTCCCATCTAAGCAAAGAATGCACTCAGGATTCTGACCGGAACGGGTGTATAATATATCTAATAGACAACAGATATTGAAATAAGAGTAAAGATTCTTAATGAAACCAGTTTGATCTTTTGATATAATGGATGGGAAATTATTTTCCAGCCTGCGTGCCAAAAATTTAGCCAAAATATTACCATCGACATTTAATGTAGAGATTGGCCTGTAGGACGAACATTCCACTGGACATTCCTCTTGGGACAAGAGTGATACTTGCCTTGAAATAGGATGGCGGAAGTTTACAACACGTGCATGAATCCGCTCCGATTCATGCACATTAGACATAATTGAGGTGAAAGCAATGATGAAAATGCTTTGAAAAATTCTATGGGAAATCCATCAGGTCCAGGTGATTTTCCACACTGCAGTGAGGAATTAGCTGCGCTCAGCTCCTCTTGCATTATGGGTTTGTATAATCTATTTTTACTATCAGAGGAAAGCGTAGGAATGTTCAAAGCGTTAAAAAGTTATCCATTAAAGTGCTTTCCTGTGGGAGTTCAGAGGTGTAAAGTTGAGAGTAAAAAGTCTTAAACATATCATTAATTTTGGAAAAATCCAAGGTGATATTACCATTATTCATTCTGACTTTTGTGATATGTTGTTTTGCCTGAAAGCCCCTTAACTGGTTAGCTAGCGTCTTACCTGATTTGTCGCTATGAATATGAAACAAACTCTTACTCCTCA